GCACCCTCATCCCCATGTGCCCCTACACCCTCATCCCCATGTGCCCCTACACCCTCATCCCCAGTGCCCCCACATCCTCATCCCCATGTGCCCCCACACCCTCATCCCCAGTGCCCCGTCACCCTCATCCCCAGTGTCCCCTCGCCCTCATCCCCAGTGCCCGCTCGCCCTCATCCCCAGTGCCCGCTCGCCCTCATCCCCAGTGTCCCCTCGCCCTCATCCCCAGTGCCCCCACACCCTCATCCCCATGTACCCCCACACCCTCATCCCCAGTGTCCCCTCACCCTCATCCCCAGTGCCCACTCACCCTCATCCCCAGTGCCCTCACACCCTCATCCCCAGTGCCCTCTCACCCTCATCCCCAGTGTCCCCTCACCCCCATCCCCAGCGCCGTGTCACCCTCATCCCAGTGTCCCCTCACCTTCATCCCCAGTGCCCCCACACCCTCATCCCCAGTGTCCCCGCACCCTCATCCCCAGTGCCCGCTCACCCTCATCCCCAGTGCCTGCTCACCCTCATCCCCACTGCCCCCTTACCCTCATCCCCAGTGCCCCTTCTCCTGCTGACTGTGGAAGTTCCTGCCACTCTGGCCCAGGCTGGCTGGAGACAGGGGTCTCCAGGGCTGATCCAGGGGGTCTTGGCCCCTCCCTTGTTCCCTCCCTTGAGGCTCTGGTTGCTGGGCCTGCCCTAGAAGAACCACCTTTATTTGATTCACAAGACTTTTCAATTTTATTAGTAAAATACAAAATGGCACAGACATTAGTGATGGGGTTGAAAAAGCAAAAGGGTCAACCAACTCCTTCCAAAGTCCTCCCCAAACTATCCTCGTCCACGTCCTCCTGGGGAAACTAACAAAATCTGTGGAAGGGGGACCAGCTGCTTTCTCACAAAGGAGGGGAGCCCCATCATGGATGCCCCACCCCTGGAAGACTCTCCCAGCCTGGAGGAGCCCAAAAAAGTGCATTCAGACCTCCTGTCCCCCTCCCTGAGCCATGAGAGTGCCCCCTACTCGAGCCAGGCCCAAACACCCCATGCCATGCCCAGCAGGGGGGTGCAGGAGGGCCAGGTGGGCAGAGCAACAAGGCTTCCCTCTCTCTGGACCAGCTGCATGTGCTTCCTCTGCGCATTCACCTGCCAAGGAGCGTGTCACCACACCTGGGGGAAGCCCAGCCTCTGGGAGGCACCTCAGGTGGAGGGCAAGGGTCACCCTGGGGACAGTCAGAGGGCGCTGGGGAGCTGCCACCAGGGATCCTGAGGGGGGAGGCCTGCAGGTCCAGCTCTGACCGCAGGGTGCCGACGGTCAGCCTCCAGCCCCAACCAGGCCTGCCTGAGTCCTCAGCAGCCAAAAAGGGAACCCCTGACGTCATGCCCACAACCTCCCTTCCCAGGGCCGGCCCTCCCACAGAGGGGACAGAGTCCCTTTCAGAAGTAAACACGGAAGCTCAGGTTTCACCAGTGCATTCTGATCTCATGGAAAACGTCATGGGAACTCCTGGCCCTGCCTGCGGTGAGGGCCAAGGTGAGGGGAAGAAGATCTTGGAGCGTGCAGAACAGTGTCTTCAGGGGGCTAGAGGAGGAAGGGGAACCCAGGCTGCAGGAAAGAAAGAGCAAATACTGGACCCAAGTCCCTAACAGAGGAGCGTGGCTCCTTGAGGCCTGCCCCGGAGCGTGCCGGCCTCCCCTCCTCCTTCAGCCAGGCACCCACGCTGTCTCAGTGTCCATGTGGGCCTGGCGGACACAAGGACGGGCTATTTTCAAAGCCAGGAAGGGGCCTTCAAAGTTGGTCTCTGCCCCTCGAGTACCCCAGCACAGGCCCCACTCGGGAGCCTCAGTGCTGACTCCTCCAACAGGGCAGGACCCGCTCCCTCAGATCTCCCCCTCGCAGGCCCTCCAGTCTCATCGATTGGTGGAGACTGGCTAGGGTGCTTGGCTGATACATGTGAGGCTGCACCCAGGGATCTGGGGAAGGGGGTCTCTGGATCAACTAGTGATGCCTGTCAGGGGCACAGCTTATTGCCACAGATTTGCCATCCCTCTCTCCTTTCACAGACGGGAAACAGTGGTCCGAATGCTTTGCTGGGTTGATGGTGGGTCTGGGACTTAGAACCCCAGCCTTCACACTCAGAGTCAACGTTCCTCCACTGCACAGCATAGACTGAGGAGGGAAAAAAATCAAAGCCGCCAGATAACTTCATCCCCACTTCCTGCAATGCCTAACTCAGGGCAGAGCCTTCGCTGAGAGCAGTCCCAGAAAACACCGCACTAGCCTCATGCAAGGAAAAACAGGTCCCCGGCTGGGACGTGGGCTCTGTATAGGGGACGGGGGAGATAGCACCGCAGGTGGCCGGGGTGACTGGCGACTGCAGCAGGACGAAGAGACACGATGGGGTCTGAGGGAGCGGGTGGAAGGGGCCTGGCCTGAGACTCATCCGTGAGATGAGATGACCGTGGTTCCACATGGGGACACGGACCAGAGGGGCTGGGCGTTCAATAAATAATTGTTCACTCGAGCTGGGACGGTGTTTAAGGGAACTTCTAACCAGTCAGCAGCAGAGGAGAGTTTTGTGACTTGGGACCCTGGAGTGAGATGTGGAGGCTATCCCCTCTGTCCCCAGGAGGTCAGGAATGGTTAAGGGTGGCCTCCTGGGGTATGCCTGGGATTTGGGAGCAGTCCCACCTGGAGGATCCCGCCTCCTTGCTCTGGTCATCCCAGCTCCGGCCAGGCCCCTGGGGGAGGGTGGGGGTGAGGATGGGGAACCCCAGGCAGCTGAGCTGAACAACTAGACACAGGCAGGTGGGCAGCTCACACGGGCACCAGGACATACGAGTTACTGCCACATCTCTGGGGGACGTAGCGAAGCCCTTCCACTATGTCCCCCACCACCTTGCGGGGGCAGCCCTGCAGACTCTGGTAGGCAAACATGGCCACTCCCAGGCAGAAGAGGAGGCCAAGGAAGGCCAGCAGCCCCACTGCCTGCCTCCGGGTGGCTGCCTGGGAGTCGGGGACAGGAGTGATGATGACGCTTAGCTTCTGGGGGTCCACGGTGGCACGGATGGGCTCCTCCGCCTTAGGCGCCCAGCTGCCTGAGGCCACTGGCTCCCTGCTGGGGGCTCCATCAGAGAAGACAGGGACCATGGAGACATGGGGCATGCTTCCCGGCCCCAGGAAAGCATCTGTGTGAGCTGAAAGGGGACCCATCTCCTTGGGCCCTAGAGAGTTCTCTGGCATGGGATTCTGTCCCTTGATCCACACAGATTTGCCTTCAGGTCCAACGTTGTCCTCCTGGGCTGTGTGTGAAATGATGGAGGCCTGGGTGGAGAGGGTCTGGGTCGGGAGGGTCTGCGTGGAGGAGGCCTGGGTGGAGAGGGCCTGGGTGGAGAGCATCTGGGTGGAGAGGGTCTGGGTGGAGGGGACCCCGGTGGAGAAAGTATGGGTGGGGAGGGTCTGAGTGGAGGGGGCCTGGGTGGGGAGGGTCTGGGTGGAGGGGGCCTG